CGGATACAGACTAACACGGCTGCTACTCTGAAACCTGTCAGCTCTGTGCGCTTGGGGAACCAGGGTGCAGTACCCAGTCTGGCTGACTCACGAAGGACCTTCCCCCCCACCCACAGCCTCCGCTTGAACCAAAGCCGATCAGAAGAAAGACTTAGAAAAAGCAATGAAAAGGCCGTGGGAGAAACACCTAAACCCCTCCAGCCAAAGGTGACAGGATTAAGGCAACTCCCCTAGCCGCATTTGCATCAAGGATGGGACAGGGAGGCATCCCCATTAGCATACAGATTGGAGAACAGAGATTCCAAGGCAAGAACCACACTGAACTCTGGGACCAGAAAAGCAGGGAAGCACTGCATGATGGGGGAATCTCTGCTCCAGATGTTAATGAACCCATGCCTGCACGCCCCCAGCTCAGCAGTTATGAGACCAATTTAAATCAAGTCTCTGGCATACATCCACAGCTGGGATGGGTGGTTCAGAGCTTCACTTTGCAGCAAGGTTCCTCCAGAAGTAAGAAGCAGGATTGAAGACCAAATGGAGGGGTTTCCAGGGCCTTTTATATTCTCTCTCTTGTGGGCAGAAACCCCTTGGTTCTCCTGTGCAAAATCACAGCAACAAGATGGAGTTTGGAGTCACATGGGCAAGTCACATGTCCATGCATGACTCAATTCTTTACAGGCCGAAGCCATTGTTTACATATTAGTTCCCAGGAAAGCTCAGATGTGGATTGGCATCTCCCAAAGTTCATTGTCAGTTAAGTGTTTCTTGATTGGGCACTTACTGAGAATAGTCCTCTCTCAAGAAGCTGACCAAATGCTTCACTGAGGCTAGGTAGAATCAAAACACATTGATACATAAGTACATAGCCAATATTCATAACTTCATCTACAAAAATGACACACACTTACAGACAGCATAATCATAACCAGCAAATCATAACCTTTCCATAGACACCTTACTGGACCTCCTTTGTACAAGATCTGGTGCAACTATAGGATGTTGGTTGCAACAATGATCTATATGGTCACAGTTCATGTCAATAACGTTGCACTGAAGCTGCCTAATTGCATTGTGAGCTCCCTGGAAGGAACACCGCCCATAGCCAGGAATGAGCAGTTTCTATTGTCTAGCCTGAACAAAACAACTTTGGTATTCTCCCTTGTTTGCACATAAACAAATCTAGTGTTCTCCCTTGAACCATTGTTGTTTCCCTACAAAAAACCCCTACCCATGCTCAAGTCAATGATCTGATGCCTGGATCCAAACTCTGCATCAGTTCCACTGGGACTTCATCTTCTCCTGACTGATCGTGCTGGGGGCTCTGCCTGTCTCCAGCACTCCGGACCCTCAGCTACCACCACCACCTGGGAACCCTGATCAAGTCAAGCTTCATGGAGCGGTGA